ACTCTTGTGACAGCCATTGTAATCGCATTTGTGTCGCTTTTGGCGAACCAACGACTCGAGTATCGACTCGTAAGTCAACGATGGGCTGCAAATAGACACACGTTTGTCACCTGAATCTGATCCATGGCTTGAGATAATTGTTGGACAATAAATACCTATCACTGGAGGACATCCCGTGAGGTGAAGGCCACTGATGTGTTGAGACTTATGACATAACCACCGGTGCGGACAACGACTGTATGGCCCGTGAAATCAGCTGTAAATCAATAGTACTTTCAATTCAAGTGATAATTAAATCAATTGTTTATATGTTTTATAAATTGTTTTCACAATAAAACTAAACACAAAACAAACGGATATTTTGTTTACGTTTTCAGTGATAATGCAAATAATGGCTGATAAACATGATTAACGTCACGTGTATTGAGTGTATTAAACGCCCCTTTCATTGATAGCAAACTTTTATATGCATTGAAATACATGTTATTTAATACAAGTTTGAAACTAATAAAAACTTTTATAGCATTACGTTATTTATGTAATGAAATTGAGTTTATAGTTTTGAGCCCTTTTATGATAGTATACTGTATGGGAATTATGTGTTAATAAAGTACTGATTTTATTATAAACAAAAAGCACATTTAAATCGTCACATGAATAGTGTGCATTTAAATGTGAGATTTATTTGTGATTTCAATAAATGTCAGAAAAGTTTTACACAAAAAGGAGACTTATTTCGACACAAACTCTTCATTGCATTTAATTTACTCTTCATTTTAATCAACGATTCACTCATTTTTAAACAGATTTATTGAAAACATTTAATAAAACACAAATAAACTTAAAAATAATTTCAAACTGAAATACTTTTCAGTCATTCAATTTCAAGATGTGTTTTGTTTGACTCCAACTCTGGAAATGTTGTCTCAAATGCAGTATTATTTGTAGTAATAGTTGTGCTCTCAATGTGTTGTCCATATGTTGTTCACAATGTGTTGATAAAGAAAACCATTTGTAAATCAATAATTATATTTTGTTAACTTCTAATTGTTTCCTTTTGGTGTACAGAACATACTTTTTACTACCATTTCTCTGGTATCAAAAATTCATCTGGTTTAGATTGTGACAATAAAGTTGGTAAAAATAGACTAATTATGCGGACATTTCCGGGAAATGAATGAATTAGTAGTTATAATTAGTTGATTAGCATTAACTTTCTAAACATGCATTTATATTTTTAATTATAAATACAGCCATTTATTAAATATAACATTAATTAAAATGATAGGCATTTTTAGAAAATTTAAAATTATTTTAATCGACAAATATTATCCACAAATTAATTAAAATTAAAATTCAATGTACATTAGAATTAATATTTTTATATCATTTTATATCATTATATCAATTAAATATTTAATAAAATGCATGAATGATGACAGAGTAAACAAAATCTGTATAATTATTGTACGGTAAATAATTTACTGTTTTGTACTTTAAATTAAAAGTTAAACACAATTTAGAGCATAATTGTTACATAATTAAGAATTGTGCACTTATTATGTGAGCAATTAATTAATAATTAATTATTTAATAATACTTTCATTAGTATACCTGAATTAATAGTATATTTATTAATTACTATAAATATTAGAACAATTTGATCTATAAATGAAAAACAGTATTCAATTGATTATAGTTTAGGCCTTTTATTACGTAAATCGTAATGACTTTCACCTAAACCTCGAGACTGAAACAGTTGGGCCACCGTATGCTCAATAAGTCTACGCTCGAGAAGTGATACTTTCTGGTCAATCGGGTGCTCAGACTCGCACCCGTAGTCCACACTCGGTAACTGCACATCACAATTGTGGTCACTCGCGGCCGGCAATGAGCCTAACTCTACGCCACAGTCGTTGTAATGACAACTATTGAGCCCCGAAGAGAGTGCGGGTCTGCCTCTGGCGATCGGGTGGTCAGCGTCGCCGCACTCGTAGCCCACTTTCGGTAACTGCACCTCACATTTGTGGTCACTATCGGTCGCCGGCACTGATCCTAACTCTGTGGTGCAGTCGATGTAATGACGATTATTGAGCCCCGACGTGAGCGCAGGTCTGCCTCTGGCGATCGGGTGGTCAGCGCCGCCGCACTCGTAGCCCACTTTCGGTAACTGTACATCACATTTGTGTTCACTCGCGGCCGGCATTGAGTCTAGCGATAAGTCGTGACAAATAGAGGCCGCAGACCAGGGCTCAGGTCTACCTCTGAGACGCGGTTTCCGATCGGTGGCGCCCGACGAATGGACGGCCAGTTTGTGTTGACACAAATCGCGTTCCCTTATAAACACTTTGCGACAGTTGTGGGCATCGCATAGAAATGGCTTACAATCGCTGCCATCTGTCCAGTGGGCAGACCGGCGGTGGACATTGAGATCGCGTTTCTGGTCAAACAGCGCCGCACAGCCCTCGCGATCGCACTCATAGGGCACTGACAGGCCGTGCGCTCGGCGTTTGTGTTCGTTCAGCACGTGTTTTAAGGCGAACCGCTGGTCACAGGCCTTGACATCGCACGGGTGGGGCAGTGGGAGGCCATGAGTGGCCACTCTGTGGTACACTAAATCCAATTCAGTGCGAAAACTACGCAAACACGGGTCGAAATCGCAGCAAAACTTTTTGGCCGACGAATGGGCGCTACTTTTGTGTTGTTTTAATTGATTTTCGGTTCGGAAACGCTTTCGACACCCGTTTTCGCCGCAAAGGAACGGCTGTTTAGATACGGCTGTCTTCGGCATCACTTCCGTATCGGGAGTACTGTTTGGGTAACAAAAATGATCACAAAATTAACCACAAATTGATATAACAAGCGATGAAAACACGTACGTATTGAATGAAGAGTAGGTGCGGCTAAAGAGGTCATCGACGTCTGGTTTGCAATCGTATGGTTTGCGGTCGATATCATCGACTACTGCGGTGTCCACAGCGCAGGTCTTCGGATGAGATACCGTATCATCGGTTAGACACGACTCGACTTTATTTAAACGGCTATATCTGTGTGTTTGGGATTAAAACACGTGATTAATCGAAAGCCAATTATAACTACTGTTAAAGTAAAAAACAATAAATACTTGTGTAATGTGTTATCGATGGACAGGTTGTCGGCGCCGTCACTGTTGGCCACCAAACTGCCGGCCAATGCAACTGCACTGTCGATACAAAGCTGTGAATCGGTCTGAATCTTGAGATCAATGTCAATGTCGGTCGCGATATCGACCCGCGAAGCGGTGGCGACGACGGCGGGCACCGGTGTGTCGGCGCCGCTGATGGACGCCAACGAACCCACGCTATCGAACCATTCATCGGTATTTGTATCACTAGTTTGCGGTCTAAAAGCACACAAAAAACATCACATTAACTGATCCTTTAATCATAACAATTGTCTCATAAACAAAACTTACATCGGATCTACGGTGTGGTCAGACGGTGGCGGCGGCGGTGATGGCCAGGGACTGGTGGCCGGCGCCGAAAGGGGGGCCAACGATAACGGGGTGTCCACCGGTGCTGACGGCGGGTGAGCGCGGGTTTTGTGTGACTGTAGTTTGCGTTCACTAATGAAACTCTTGTGACAGCCATTGTAATCGCATTTGTGTCGCTTTTGGCGAACCAACGACTCGAGTATCGACTCGTAAGTCAACGATGGGCTGCAAATAGACACACGTTTGTCACCTGAATCTGATCCATGGTTTGAGATAATCGTTGGACAATAAATACCTATCACTGGAGGACATCCCAAAGTGAAAGCCACTCAGATGTCGAGACTTAAGACATAACCACCGGTGCGGACAACGACTGTATGGCCCGTGAAATCAGCTGTAAATCAGTAGTGCTTTCAATTCAAGTGATAATTAAATCAATTGTTTATATGTTTTATAAATTGTTTATTTAATACAACAATAAAACTAAACACAAAACAAACGGATATTTGTTTACGTTTTCAGTGATATTGCAAATAATGGCTGATAAACATGATTAACGTCACGTGTATTGTGTGTATTAAACGCCCCTTTTGTTTATAGCAAACTTTTATATGCATTGAAATACATGTTATTTAATACAAGTTTGAAACTAATAAAAACTTTTATAGCATTACGTTATTTATGTAATGAAATTGAGTTTATAGTTTTGAGCCCTTTTATGATAGTATACTGTATGGGAATTATGTGTTAATAAAGTACTGATTTTACGTTAGAGTAATGTATTGTCATTATTAATGAATACAGTCTACACTCGATAATGAATACGTTTACAATTAAATGCATATTTTTATTATAATTGGGTTTTATATTGTGATAGTTTGGTTTTTAATTTAGTTGTAAATTAATTTAATTAATATTTTTATTTAATATTTTGTTTTAATGTTTAAATATTTTAAATAAAATTATGTTAATATTTAATGAATTTAATTTTAAAACCGGTTTTTGTTTATAAAGACTATGAATTCAAACCATTGTCTGAATGCTATAAAAGCGGCAAAAATTATTTGTTTTATGTTTTATAAATAGTAAAAGGTTTTGTTTTTATATAAAGTATTAACAACTTTTTAATTTTTGGTTTTAAAAATGTGTTCAAAATTATTGAGTGTTTCGTTGATTGAAATGAAGAGTTTGTGTGAAATGTACCATAAGTTATGATTAAAACAATTGGTTAATTTGTATGATTAGAACAATTGTATGATTAAAACTTAATTATTAAATTATTAATAAATACATTAACAATAGGCCTGCGCTC